GTGCGCAGCTCCTGGAAATGTCCGGTGTTGAGCAGCGCACCTTCCCTTTTATTGTAGATGTGAGTCACTGGAGATTACATTGCTTCTTTCAAGAATATCTGCAAATAAAATACACAGAATGACAAAACTAAAACCTTTTATATGCATGACGATTTCAAACAACAAAAAGCTGACAAACACTACAAACATCTCCAGGACCTAAATTCTGTCATGTGGGGAATAGAATGAAAAGTTTCTTATTCACTGGTGTGGGATCTTTTTTCCTTATCACTGTTTTACTTTATCTTGTGTGTATAAACAGCCAGCAAACTCTTTACCACTATATAGACCAGATTCAATGCCCACTGTAGCAGTTCTACAGCTCATCTCTGAAACACCTTGTGCAGAGTTTGTCATGATAAATGTGTACTCACTATAACAATCAGGGCATCTTTTCCCGTTATGTTCAAATCTTGTAAGGGTCATGTCAAAATCCGAGATCACCTGGATCAAAAACGAGATCAGAATCACCAAAGAGCCGGTGTTCTGGGAATCCATCCTACCTGGCAAACCATCCTACCCGTTGTTTCTGCGCATGCGCACAACACAAAATTCAGTGGCAAATTGTCCTACCTTTGTGAATATTAACTAGAAAAATACTCTGACCGGTAAAATTAACTGCCAAACCAACCTACCTTTGCGAATGTCACCTACAAGCATACTTAAACTGCTAAAATTTTGTGGCAAATCATCCTACTTTTGTTAATCTGAGCTAGAAGCATACTTTAATAGCTACATTTCAGTGGCGAACCATCCTACCTTTCTGAATATGAGCTAGACGCGTACATTAACAGCTAAAATTCAGTGGCAAATCATCCTACGTTTGTTAATAACAGCTACACACATACTCTGACGGGTAAAATTAAGTGCCAAACCATGCTACCTTTGTGAATGTTACCTACAAGCATACTTTAACGGGTAAAATGAAGTGGCAAACCATCCTGGCTGTATGCATATGAGCTACAAGCATACTCTGATGGGCAAAGTTAAGTGGCAAACCGTCATACCTACTTAAATTTATGCTGGAATTACTCTGTGACAGCAGAAATGTGCATAAACTAGTTACGGTAGGACGTTTTGCCAAAGTAGGATGGTTTGTCAGAACATATATGGATTATATTTTCATACAGGGCTGAATGTGTTTATGAGCGTGGTGGATGACGTGTATACCTGCAGGGTGTTGGAGCCAGCCTTCTGCATGGACTGCAGGATCTCTCGTACCCTCTCATCATCTTTCATATGCACCCAGGAGTTGGAC